ATGGTCTTCCTGGCACCCCGCAGCAGCAATTTGAAGCCAGGCTCCGAATACAATCGAGGCGGCACCGTGCTTGTCGACGCGTGTGGCAGGCGCTAAACCTTGAACAATGGGGGGAAGGGGCCTTTTTTTTTTTTTATTTTTTTTTTTTTTATATATATAAAAAAAAAAAATGCCAAAATCTTTCAACAACCTTAGGACAATCAATGATTCTGGCATCCTCGTGCCCTCCTGGAAGACTTCCTGGACGCCTTTTTTGGTCGTCTTGGAGGCCTCTTGGGGGCTTCTTGGGCCGTCTTGGGCCATCTTAGGCCGTCTTGGGTGCATCTTGGGCCGTCTTGGAGGCAGTTTGGGGCCATCTTAGCCGTCTTGGATGCCATTCTGGCAGTTTTGGATGCCTCTTGGGCCCTCTGGGGGGCGTCTTGGGGGCCTCTTGGGCCGTCATGGGGCCATCTTGGAGACCTCGTGGGCGATCTTGGGGGCCTCTTGGGCCGTCTTGGGCCGTCGGAAGGCCGAACAGAAACAAATGTCAAAATCCTTCAAAACTCGTAGGAACATGAATGATTTTGGTCTCTTCGGACCCTCCTGGAGGACGTCTTGGAGGCCTCTGGGGCCGTCTTGGAGGCCTCTGGGTAGCCTCTTGGGCCGTGTCAGGCTATCTGGAGGCCACCTGAGGCCGTCTTCGGTGCACTTTGGGCCGTTTTGGAGACATCTTGGAGCCATCTTAGCCGTCTTGGATGCCATCTTCGGCGTCTTGGAGGCCTCTTTGGCCGTCTTGGGGCCCTGTTGGGGCCGTCTTGGCGGCCTTTTCCCTTAAGACTCATTAACTTAAAAAACTAAGTTGTTATAAAAATTAGCAGCTCCTTATTATAATTTATTTTATTTTTTAATGTTGTAGAATTAATTTGAAACTACTGACAACTACTTCAACTTATAGTTTGCACAATTAGTTTCCAACATTAGTTTCCGTATTCCGCTTTGACGGCGGATCGAACCGATGTCACGGCTTGTCTTCATTGTGTTAATGTTGCTACTGTTTGTCGCTCATTTCAATTATGGCAACGTTGATTTGCGTAAGATGCGTTGGCGTTCGCGTCTCCGTGGTGCCCACGTGTTGTTGCCTGTTTCATCGACGCATGTGTTCCGTTGAAGCAGTTTTGGACCAAGCCCAAAGTTGCAGAGGAGGCGCGCGTTTCGGACGCGATGTTGGGCCGCCTGACGCGCAGGCGTGTGAGGTCGAAGGCAGATTCGGATATGAGTATCAATTCTTTGGTCGGCGTGTTGGACAGCTTGTACAAGAGCGAGGGCACCCGCGACCTGTGGCGGATCATCGGGCATTTTGTTTCGCATTGAATGTTTCTTTTGCATTTCCCGCGCCAGCTCTGCTTTGCCATGAGTGTTACCATGTTGGGCCAAATCGCAAATGCTGCCATCGCCTGTCATGTGATTTGCGTTGCATTAGAAGTGCGTTTTGTCATGTCACGCGCAACCGTTGCAAGCAACAACCATGCATGCTTGTATGCTTGAACGTGCCACGGCGTTGGCCGTCTTGGAGGTGTCTCGGATGCCATATTGGGCCGTCTTGGAGCCGTCTGGAGCAGGACAAGCCCTTTGGAGCCGGGTCTGGGCGATCCTTCCGGGATCCTGGCGGGACGGGCCGAAGCCCCAGGGGGAGTTCTCTTGGAACAAGAACCAATACCAAAAACGATAGGATTTTGCATGCCAGGCACCCCTCCTGCAAGCAACAGGGGGCGACGGATCGAAGACGCCTACGGCGCATCACCGCTGCCCCCTGCCACTTTGGAAGCGCCTCTGTGGCCGACAGCTGAGCCAGAGCTTGACCAAGCTATCGGGCCAGTTGTTCCCCGAGTCGATTTGGAAAGACTTCGGGGAACGCATGGGGGAGCAATAGGAGGAGGAGGGGGAGGATGAGGACAAATGAGGAGGAGGAGGAGGAGGAGGGGGAGGAGGAGGAGGAGGAGGAGGAGGAGGAGGCCTCTTGAGCGCCTCTTGGGGCACTTTTGGGTCCTGGGGGCCTCCTGGGGCCTCTTGGAGGCCTCCTGGGGCATCTTGAGCGCTCTTGAAGTTCCCTGGGGCTCTGTTGAGTCAGAAAATCTGATTTTAGGTTCGTGATCCCCCTCTTGAGGCCATGTTGGGCCGTTTTTGGGCGCCTTCTGCGCCGTATTGGGACCTTCTGAGGACGTCTTAGGGCCTTTTGGGGGGCCGTCTTGGGGTGTCTGGTAGCAATAGTTGGGGCCTCTTGGGCCATCTTGGAGCGTCGGAAAGCCGAAAAGGCGATGAGGCCAGAAACCTTCAAACACCCAAGGACACGCACAGAGGTTTGCCTCTTGGGAACCTCTTGGGAGCGCTCTTGGAGGTGGGACATGTCGTCTGTATGCCTCAAGTGTTACCGACGAGGTACCGCTTGATGCCTGTCGTCTGCATGCCCCGAGTGGTACAGGATAATTACCACTTGAGACGTGTCGTCTGTATGCCTCAAGTGTAACTAGGCATGCACCACTTGAGGCATATCGTCTGTATGCCTTCAGAGGTACCAGTCGTGCACCGCTGGTATGCCTCAAATGGTCCAGATCATGAGCCGCTTGAGGCACGTCGTCCGGTCGTGCGTCAGATACTTTTTGCGTGTTCGTTAGGATCTCGTGGTAGGCCTTCTGAGTGCTCGCTGGGATCTCGTTGTAATTACTCCAGATTTCGTAATAAAAGGGAGGGGGTCACAATCCTCCCAGACCACAAGTTTTAGACCCCCCCAGACCATCCATGAAAGGGCGGCACTTTGCCCGGACCCCCCCTAACCCTTCAAGACAGATCGAATCAGACCCCCCTGCCAAATGTAACCCCCCCTACTTTATTATGGAATCCGGAGTAGGTCCCTCCGGGGCCTCATGGAAGCAGCTTTGAGGCCATTCGGGGCAGTCCTGAGGCCTCTTCTGGATCACCTCGTGGCCTCTTGGGGGCCTCGTGGGGGCCACCCGGGGCCTCGCGCGGCCCTCTGGCGGCCTGCCGGCTGGGGCCTTCTCGGGGCGGAGGGCCAGACTGTGCTGCTCGTGGTCTCGTTCTTGGACCCCCTTGGGGCCCTCTTGGGCCCTGGCATCGCTTGGACGTGTGCATTTTTTCTCGGCGAGAACCATCGAGGACCATCCTCGACCAAAGAGCAAAAATAACACGCACGAAACCAAACAAAAAACACAAAAGCTAGACGTCCGAGCGATGGCGAGGGGCCGTATTGGGCGCCTCTGGTGCCGTATCGGGTCCCTCTTCGGCCGTCTTGGGGCCGCCCTAGCAGCCTTTCGGTCCTTTTCGGGGCGTCTTGGAAATCAACGATGTTGACCTTTTGGGGCCTCCTTCAGAAGACTCTTAGACGCCTCTTGGGGCGTCTTGGAGGCCTTGGATCGTCCTGGTGCCATTCTGGCAGTCTTGAAGTGATCTCCAGGCGTCTCAAAGCCCGCATGGACCATCTTGGGAGTCTCTTGGGACTCTCTTGGCCCGTCTTGGAGCACGCGGTGCGATGCGGGAAACCCCCGACAAGCAGCGACAAGCCCAAGAAGATTTGGCCTTCTGGGGTCCGGGCCCTTGAAGAATCTTCACAATCGATGATTGAGGCTCGGGGGATCAGGCACGGGACCTGAGGTCACGCGAACGTCGTGGAGCAGCCTCCTTCCCAGAAGCCCTCCCACCTCCCTCCACCCCCTCGTGGGCGCCACCAACTCAGCACGTCTCCTGCGGCAGGAGACGCGTTGAGTTGACCGGTTTTTTTGACCGGTTCCGGCTCCGGCTCCAATCCTGGAACCGTTTTTTTGCCGTTTCCAGTGGCCGTTTTTTGCCGTTTCCATTTTCATTTTCTAGGGACATTTTTCTGGAAGCGGTGAAAAAACGGCCCCCCCGCCCCCTCCGCCCACATGCCTCGGGTCATGGTGCGCGGGCCCCCTCTGTGCTTCTCGGCCCCCATCTCCCTCGGGCGCCACCAGCGGGCGACGGGTCCCCCGGCGGCAAGAAGGTGGAGCACCTTGAAGGGGCGGTGGTCCCACAACGGGGGGGGCAGATCGTTTGGCGGCTCGGGCTGCCCCGGGGCAGCTTGGGGCAGGGCGGCCTGGGGGCGGTCCTGCGGGCAAGATGTGTATCCAGATCTACACTGGATCGTGGACTTCCGGCCCTGCAGGAATCAAAGTCACGGTGGTTATGGATAGATCCAGGGAGGAAAACGCACCCGGACCGGACAATTGGCGTTTACTAAACGGGTTTGGGCGTTTGTTTCACAGCCCTGCCCTGTTTGATTCCTTTTTTGTGCGTGTTTATTGAACGACTTCGCGTGTCGGGGTGTTTTTTTATGGGTTTTCTGTTTGACTTCTAGTATAAAGTAATAAAGTATAAGCTGGGTCCCTAGAGCCCACAGGCTGGATTCTTATGCAAGTTCACTGGCCTTGTGGCACCCCTTCCCAGGAAGGCCAAGCCGCAGTGGATGTTTGTGTGCGTATGTATATATATATATATATATATATATCGTGCCCGGTTCTCCTCCCTCCTGCAGTCGGGGTGCATCGGGAAGCGCAGAAGGGGATCGGGGATTATGTCGGGGCAACGACCGAAGGGGATAGGCTCAGGGGGTGACGCATCGACCCCCAATCGCCCAGTGATCGCCGACAAGGCCTGATAGCCCGCCCACTCAGCCAAGGAACGTCCAGATTCGCAATTCATCAGAGACGCATCGCCGAGTCATGCTCGATGTTTCCCCGCCACCCCCCCGAGCCGGTCCCTTCCGTGAACTTTCTCCCCACAGGTGGGGAGGGGGAGAGGGGGACGAGGCGGAGGAGGCTGGAGCAGGAGGAGGAGGACCTCCTCGAGGAGCGGGTGGGAGGAGTTCGAGGGGGATCGCCTCGAGGTGACCTCCTTGAGGAGCTCCTCGAGGAGCACCTCGTCGAGGATCTCCTCGAGGAGGAGGAGCCCCTCCCTCCCTCCGACCTGGGGGCGCGGCCCCGAGAGTCCAGGACTTGCTCGAGCGGGCATCCGCCGAGGCGGCGTCCGCCCAGGCCATCCTCAAGGAGGTGCAGGATCTTGCGGGAGTCAGACTAGTCCCAGGCTGCCGCCTTTCCCGCCCTGGCAGGTGTGCTCGCATGCTGACCAGACGGCAACTGAGAACTGAGAACTGGGGGGTCCTGGGCGAGGGCGGGGCTGCGGGGGGCGATCGCCGTGGGGGAGGCGGGTCCCCAGGGGGAAGCGTCAAGCAGGGGCGAAGCGTCCTGGCTCGCCCATAGCCCTACCAAGCAGTGTTCTAAGAACCCTTTGTGTGGTTTCCACGAAGTGTTCTCAGAACAGGTCTGGCGGAGTCCTGTCCTGTTTTAGCACATCGGGTGTCTGTTCTAAGAACATTGTTTTTGCTCGTAGAACATTTTTGGGTTCTCAGAACATATCGTGGTAGGACTACAGGACTGCCGGGAAAACGGGCGCTGAGGCTTTTCCCCCTGCGCTCGGGCCCTCGGGGCCCTCCGCGGGCCCCGGGGGCTGCCAGGCAGCGGCCGGGCCCCAGGGACCAGGACGAGCTTCCCCCGGGATCGGTCGCCCCCCCCGACTCTTGGTGGTCCCCAAACGTGGTGGTGAGAACACCCGGTGGTGAGTTTTGGGCGATTTGGGTAAAGGTTTTCGAGCGCTGGCTGGCCCAGGAAACGCAAAACCTCGTGGCGACGGCGTGTCCCCAAACCCGGTGGTGACCTTAGAATCATTTTTGGGGGGAATCGGGGTCACCACCGGGTGTCTCACCACCTGGTTTGGAGACCACCAAGACTCCAGATCCGCCCAACTTGGCTTTATTCTCCAACTTAAAATGGCGTCAGAGATCCACCTATAAGAAGCCGAACAAGTAGGCGGAAATTTCTGCACACAACATAGAGTAGGGCGGGCGGAAACAGCAGCAGAGAAGTAGGGCGGACATTGGCATCAGCGGGGCTTGAAAAGTAAGGCGGAAATTCCAAGCCCTACTTACGATCTTCCCCAAAGTAGGGCGGATCGGGAGTCGGGGCCGTGCCAAGACGGAGATCTGGGCCTCCCAGGAGGGGGTCCGAGTAGGTGGGGTCGGAGGATCTCGCTGCATCGCCGATGCGTCGGCGATGCGGCTCGATGCGGAGCCTGATGTTCTCCGCGCCGACGTCGGCTGTGTATCGCCGACGTCGCTGGATGCGTCGTCGATGTGTTGGTGATGCATCGGCGACGCTCTACTCCGACCCTGTTTTCGAGGCCTCTTCTGGACGACGACGAGGCATTTTTCCCACGATCGGTAAACACGCAGCACTGCACGGATCAGAGTGAAGGGACTGACCGGTCATTCATTGTATTTGGGCGCGTGGCTGAAGTGGAGTTCTGCAGGGCGGTATATGCTTGTTGTGGTTTTTGAATACCATTTACGAAACAGTTGGTATTGTTGGATGCCCTATATCCGCCCTGGCGCTCTCGCCTCGGCGCGCGCTGCATGTCCGTGAGCACTGAGGCTCGTGCTCAGACGTTTCGGGATGCGGGCCTTCTCGGAGGAGGGGCGCTCTCGCCCGAGTCGTTCTCCCTCGCAATGCTGCACCGCGGGGGGGGTCCTTCAGAGCAGTCTTGCCGCTACTTGCGGCTGCCAGACAGGCCGTTTCGCTTGAGACTTTCAGAAGCCAGGGGAAGCCAGGGGAAGGCTGGCAAACCCGTGGCTGCGAGAACGGAGCTCCAGGAAATTGCTTTGTTCTTCTGGGAGGCAGCCCGTTTACTATTTGGTGCGCCGATTTCTTTTCTGGGATTTGTTCTTGAGCCGTTTGAGCAGCCACGGATTTGCCAGCCCTCGCCCAGCTTCCGAGACTTCCTCGGAATTTAGCACCGCAAAATGGGGGTCTTGAAGAGCATTCTTGCTGCCACCCGCAGATGCCAGAGCGGCCATTTCGCTTGAGGTATCCTCGCAGTTCAGCAGCACAGGGGAATCCGTCAGAGCATTTTCTGCCGCCACTTGCGGAGGCCCCAGGACGCTGCATGGACACGTCTTCGGGGAACGTTTTTCGATGGATCCCATTCGCGAGGCTTCCGCGAGGCTAACGGGCGTACCCATCCATCGGGAGGGGGGGTGATCCTATTAGCACCGGGTGTGTCTAGGGTTCCGGCCTCGTGGCCGAAGCGAATGCGATGGTATGTCCTGCTTGTCGGGAGAGGGGTCTTTGGTAGCAATTTATGGGAGCCGTGCATGCCCGCGTAACTCCGTTTTTGGAGTGCATGACCGTGCGCTAGCGTCTGGTCATAGATAGCGTCGGTCAGCGTCGATCTAGCGTCGATTAGCGTCGATTAGCGTTGATTAGCGTTGATTAGCGTAGGTTAGCGTCGATTCGCAAGAGCCAGCACGATGGCATGAGAGGTTCCAACGGGTTGCCACCGAAGGGTGTCCCGCACTTCTTTCTGCCGGCTGGTGCCCCCTCTGCCCACCTCGCGGAGGACGAGGAAGGAGGGGGAGGGAAGCAGGGCAGTTTGGGCCGATGCGTCTGGCGTCCCCACCTTCTGGGGAGGAGGAGGAGGAGGAGGAGGAGGAGGAGAAGGAGAAGGAGAAGGAGGAGGAGGAGGAGGAGGCCCTCCTCTTCCCCGTGGCCGTCGCCGGAGGAGGAGGCGGAGGAGGATCAAAAGGGGGAAAACCCCCACGGCAGGTTCGCGTCGTGCCGGCCGGCGGCGACCCCAGCGCGTGCGTGTGAGCTTGAGTGCCGCCCGTTGCCCAGAATCGGCTCGTCGTTGAGCGACCCGGCGTTCACGGAACGGCCGATCGTTCAAGCTTGAACGATCCCCGCGGCGTCAGCAGCCAACGCCGGGGTCGACGGGACGCGAAGTTGCCGTACTTCCATAACCGGCGCTGCCCGGGCTGGCCAGCCCGGGGGAGGAGGAGGAGGAAGGGGGAGGAGAGGAGGAGGAGGAGGAGGAGGAGGAGGAGGAGGAGGAGGAGGAGGAGGAGGAGGAGGAGGAGGAGGAGGAGAGGAGGAGGAGGAGGAGTAGGAGGGAGAAGAAGAATACGAAGAAGAACAAGAAGAAGAAGAATAATAATAATAATAAGAAGAAGAAGAGGAGGAGGAGGAGGAGGAGCAGGCCGTCGACGGCAACGGTGACGGCGGTGGTGGCGACGGCTGCGGCTGGGAGGACGCAGGGATCTACAAGGCGGCGGAGAACCTCCGGAGGGCCAGGGCGCAGGCGGGCGCCGTGCCGCCCCCCCCCCCCCCCCCCGCGCGATGCCGCGTCCCAGGGGGCCAGCGGCAGGATGGGGCCAGTAGGGGGCCACATGCGAACCCTGCCCCTAGCCCCCACGATTTCTGAGGGGGAGGGTGGGGTGCACTTCTCTCGGCCGCCCATTGGAGCACACGGAGCAGTGGCGAAGCGTCTTGGCTCGCCGGTGGGCCTGCCAGAGAATGCTCTAAGAGCCTCCTGTTGTTCGCGCACGGGATGCTCTCAGAATATCTCTGGCTGGGGCTGTCTTGTCGTAGCACATCCGGCGAAGTGTCCTAAGAACGTTGTTTTTGTTATTGGAACATGTTCGGGTTCGAAAAATATTTCGCGGTAGACCTATTAGGAATGCCAGGACGGTTGGCCCTCCCCTTGCTCGAGTACAGTCAGCCCGCAGAGTGCAGTTCACCTCACCCGCATGTCGGGGGCGGCCAAGAGGGGAGGGGGCTGGGGGGGATATCATGGCGCGGGCCATGATACTTCCCCAGATGTTTGGCGCCTCTTCTTATTCCATGACATCCCTGCCCCCCCCCCCTGAGCCGCGCACGTGCCGCCAGCCATGATTTACGCCCCCCTCTTGGTTGCCCCCCTCTTGGCCGCTCCCAAGCGCAGTGAGGATGGGCAACCTTCCCAAGGACACCCTTGCATCCTCTGCCTCCTCGGTCCTTTCCTTTACTCTCTCTCTGGCCGCGCCCCGCTCGAAACGCTTCGAGACGGCCTTCCAAGGCCCTTGCATTCTTGCCGTGCGTCCTTATAATCCACATCGACTGTAGGACAGAGCGACTTTCCAAGGTTACCCTTGCATCCTCCTCCTTCGGCCCATCCTTGGCCGCTCTCGCGGGCCGCGCCCCGCTCGCAAAGGGCCAGCACGGTCTTCCAAGGCCCTTGCATCCCCACCGCGTATCCTCATTCTACGGGTTGACTACCCGGACCTTCCAGGAGGGCACAAAAATAGCACGCGACTTAAAAACCCATCCCAGAGCTATTCTACGTCTTGGTTTTAGGCTGTTTCGTCTCGTTGTTTAGGTTTTTAGGTCTCCAGTGCTAAAAAACAGCTCTCTGGAAGGTCAGGGTATAGGGCGTGATCCTTGCAGGAGTCCCGAGCGGATGTTGCCCCTCCTCACTCGTCTTGCCGCGGGGACCCCGGGCGAAACCTGCGGGCCACAGTGCCCACGGGTCGAACTCGCACGGGCACCGTCGAGCGGACCGCAGGCGGACACGGGTGGCGGTGCCCGTATGCCCGCACGAGCCCGACCGAGGCGGGGGCCGAGGCCGACGGAGGTCGAGACCACCGTGCTCTTGGCATCGCTCGGACGTGTGCATTTTCCCCTCGGCGAGGACCATCGAGGAGCATCCTTGATCATTTCGCGAAAAACCACGCACGAAACCGAAACAAACACAGGAAATGGACGTCCGAGCGATGGCCAGTGCTGGCCTTCCCCCAACCTCCCCAGGGCATCCAGACCACCGGAAGCAGGGCCGAGGAGTGAGCATCAAGAGGTCCTGGCGTTCGGAGCGAGTTCCCTTTGGCCTCTGGGGGCCTCTGGAGACCTCCTTAGGGGCCCAGCGGGATCTCCGGGGGCCCGCTGCGGCCTTCTAGGGGCGGCTGGGGACCTCCCGCAGGAGGCGTCCAGGGAGTTCTGGATGCCCCATTGGGGGGTCTCGGGAGGCAGCTGCTATCGGGGAAGCGCAAGGCCTGGCTACGCCATAACTCGGGTCTGCCGACGCTTCTTGACGAGCGCGTCCTGGATTTGACAGTCCAGTTTTCGTGGGATGTTTGCAGCGGGAGTCTGCGTCAAATCTCAGACTGGGTCTCGTCATTTCAGATTTGGTCTCGGCATTTTCATGGTGGCCCCGTCACGACAACCCGAGTCCCCCGTACCCGAGCCTAACAGGTCTCCCCGATCCTGAGAGGTTCAGTTCAGCGTCGGCGCTGGTATATCCGTGGTCAATACAGGCCGGATCCGACAGAATCCCGCCCAATTCTGTTGAATCCAGATTAATTCGGTTCGATCTTGGGCTCGATCCAGGCAGATCCAACTTCATAAATCCCTGATCGGGCTTAGCAGCATTGGATCGTTTTGTTGAAGGCCTCCCAGGAGCTGCCTCCTGAGGGGTTCCTAGGGCCCGTCCCTAGGTTCTTCCCTCGAGCGCTCCCTGTAGATCGAGGTGCAGATATGGACCTCTCCGACGTAAAACACATGGTGTGCATTTTTTGGCAATGCTCCTCCGTCATTTGCGTTTCTTTCAACGCCCCTGTGTTCCTATTTTGTATAGTTGCCGTTCCTCATCTTGCTGCGCTCTTCTGAAATCACTGTTGGGTGCTCTTCTTGCGCACTGCGGGTCCTTCAGAATGCCAGTCAGCATTGAGTGGTCCTGAGTAGAATCGCCACATGTATAGAAAGGGTTGGGTACGTCACAGGGTAAGTTTTGGTAGTGCCCCTCCGCTCTCGGCTTCCAGACCCTTCCGACGACGAGGTGCTCCCGAGCCCTTCCCCACGACCCGGCCGTTCCTCCTGAGTGCACGCTCGACGGTCCTCGGGCGTGGGACGGCACGCTGACGTCGAATCGCGCTTCGCTTAAGTCGGCCTGTCCCCCTACAGGGGGATTTTCGATGAAAAATATAAATACCCCAGAAATATTCCAGAAAGGTCAAAAAATACTCCCCAGATTATTTTTGGAGTATTTTTTATTTATTTGTGGGGTATTTTTTATTTTTCGTCGAAAATCCCCCTGTAGGGGGACAGGCCCGAATGAAGGCTTCGCGCAATGGGGCAGCGACTATTGGGGAGGGGGGGGGGACGATACGTGGGGGGCATGCTGACGTCGCAGGTGGCGAGCAGGAAACCGCCGCCTCGATGTCGTTCGCTTCGCCAGGGGGTCTGGGCCTGCGTCCCTCCCTCTCTCCTCCGGCTGGGCGCTCAGGCGGGGCCAGCGACGAGGACGGAGTCCGTACCAGAGCCTGTCCGCACGTTCTCGGAGCGTTCCGGTGGGGCGCCGCGTGATGGGGAGGCGATCGATGGTCGGGAGCGGCAGAGGGGGGTGATGACTAGGGGGGGTGGATATCATGGCGGGTGCCATGATATTTCCCAAGATTTCATGGCGTCTCTTCTTATTTCATTACGCCCTGCCCCCCCCGCCGGGCCGCGCACATGCCGCCGGTCATGATTTGCACCCCCCCCTCTTGGACACCCCCCTCTTGGCCGCTCCCGAGATAAGGGGGCAGCGAGGGCTGCAGAAGTGGGGCCCTTGAGGGCCTCCAAAAGGGGCCTTCTGGGCCCGCAGGGGGGCCCTCCGGGCCCGAGAGGTGCACCTACGCGACGCCCGGTCCAGAACGCTCTGGGGCGGCCGCGGTGCCCGATACATCCTCCACAGCCGCCAGATCTCCGAGATTCTCGATATCATCCTCGTCCAGCTGTATCCTCGTCCTGGCCTCGGCTGATGGGCCTCTGGCCTGCCCTTTCCGCAGGAGGACGCCAAGGAGCAGCAGAAGCTGCTGGGCACCATGGACCTCATGCTGCGGTCGCCAGCGCCCGCGAAGGAGCCGCGCCTGGCCGCCTCACGACGGCGGCTGGGGCCCGCGTGCGAGCGATGGCGGCTGCGCGGCACCAGTGGCGGCGGCAGCAGTGGTGGCAGCGGGAACCTCCTCCTCCTCCTCCATCTCCTCCTCCTCCTCCTCCTCCTCCTCCTCCTCCTCCTCCTCCTCCTCCTCCTCCTCCTCGGGAACCGCAGCTCGGGGGAGACGGGTCCTGAGGAACACTGGCCATGAGGTTTTTCGCCGTTTTCAGGCGTTCGGGACCCTCCAGATGGGCCCATGGGCTGCCAGGAAAGGAGTCAGGGTGACAGATCTCGCGTCTTGGGGGAAGGCCCCAGGGTCCAGGACCTGCTTCCCTCAGGACCCGCTTCCCCCTGTGCTACGCATTCTGCACGAGCGAAATGGGCACGGAACGAATGGGTGCACTGCCCAACAGCAGTTCCTGTTCATTTTGACCAGGACTCGCTGTCCGTGCCGCCGCGGCCTGTGTCCGTTCGAGACAGAAGGCCGCCTGCCCAACAGCGGCCGCTGTCGGTTTGGGACAACATTTGTTGTTGGGCATCGTACTCCAGATTTCGTAATAAAGGGAGGGGGGTCTCATTTCGGGGGGGGTCTCTTCCAGGCTATCTTGGAGGGCCTGGGGGGTCTGGGGGCGATGTTTTGGAGGGTTCTCCCACGGGGGAGGTCTGAAATGGCTTGTCTTGGAGGGTCCAGACCCCCTCCCTTTTATTACGAAATCTGGAGTGCCAATTTTTTCGGTACCCATGTCGGGCGTCCAAAGTATTGTCTGACTCATCCCCATCCCCGCTGGAGGAGGAGGAGGATGAGGAGGAGGAGGAGGAGGAGGAGGAGGGCCATGGCATCTCGGCCCCACGCTCCCCCCCCCTCGTTGGGGACGGGTCCTCGCTGCTCGGCCGCGGGACCTGGCCGCGCGGCCGCGGGGCCGGCGGCGGCAGAGCCGGCGATGGTTTTGCGGCGACGGGCTTGCCGTGTGCTTGGCAGCGCTCGGACGTGTGCATTTTTCCTTCGGCGAGGACCATCGATAAAACGATGCGAAGACCGGGACCACATCGGATCGGGATAACTCGAAATCTCTCAGAATCGGTGGGTTTGGAGGATGTATTGGGCGCCGCTGCCACTCCAGAGCGTTCCGGAACGCTCTGAGAGCGCTCCGGAACGCTCTGGAGCGATTTATCCCTATCCTAGCCCTGTTTTAATCGAGGAGCATCCTTGATCATCTGGGGAAAAAACCACGCACGAAACCGGAAAAAAGCACAGGGAATGGACGTCCGAGCGATGGCCAGTGCGGGGCGTGTGCGGCCCCAGGGCACGGGGCGTCGCCGTGGCTTGTGCCTCTGCCTTCACAACCTCGCCGCCCAGCTGGGGCACGCTGTGGGGGGGGGGGGGGCAAAAAGCAGCAGCCGAAGCGACACAGACGGCACCTCAGGGGCAACGTTGGGGGGGGGGGTACGCTCAGGGAGTAGGCTTCAGGTTTTCGGGTGTGTATGTCGGTTCTCGGTGGTTTTCAAAGCTCTTGAATGCTCTCCAGCAGGTGCGCCTCGCCGAGGACGAGGACGAGAGGACGAAAGGACGAGGAGAAGGAGGAGGAGGAGGAGGAGGAGGAGGAGGGAGGGAGAGGAGGGAGGGAGGGAGGGGAGGGAGGGAGGAGGAGGGAGGGATGGAGGGGGGAGGGAGGGAGGGAGGGAGGGAGGGAGGGAGGGAGGAGGGAGATGGAGAGGAGGAGGAGGAGGAGGAGGGAGGAGGAAGACGGAGGGAGGAGGGGAGGAGGGAGGAGGAGGGAGGAGGGGGCGGAGGAGGAAGGAGGGAGGAAGGGAGGAGGGGAGGAGGGAGGAGAGAGGAGGGAGGAGGGAGGAGGGAGGAGGGAGGAGGGAGGAGGAGGGGATGGGAGGAGAGAGAGAGGAGGGAGGAGGTAGGAGGGAGAGGGGAGGAAGGAGGAGGGAGGGAGGGGGAGGAGGGAGGAGGGAGGAGGGAGGAGGGAGGAGGGAGGAGGGAGGAGGGAGGAGGGAGCAGGGAGGAGGGAGGCGGGAGGCGGGAGGAGGGGGAGGAGAGGAGGAGGAGGGAGAAGGGAGGCGGAGGAGGAGGAGGGAGGAGGGGAGAGAGGGAGGAGGGAGGAGGAGGAGGGAGGAGAGAGGAGGAGGGAGGAGAGGAGGGAGGAGGAGGAGGAGGAGGAGGAGGAGGGACGAGGACGAGGACGAGGCGAGGACGGAGACGAGGACGCGGACGAGGACGAGGAGGACGAGGAGAGAGGACGAGGAAAAGGAGGAGGAAGAGGAAGAGGAGGAGGAGGAGGAGGGAGGGAGTGAGGAGGGAGAGGGAGAGGGAGAGGGAGAGGGAGAGAGAGGGAGAGAGGGAGAGGGAGGGGGAGAGGGAGAGGGAGAGGGAGGGAGGAGGAGGAGGAGGAGAAGGAGGAGGAGGAGGAGGAGGAGGAAAGGAGGAGGTAGGAGGAGGAGGAGGAGGGAGGAGGGAGGAGGAGGGAGGGGAGGAGGGAGGAGGAGGAGGAGGAGGAGGGAGGAGGAGGAAGAGGGAGGAAGAGGATGAGGAATGTGAGGTCGAGAGCTCCAGGGCGCTCCGTCGTGCCGCAGCCCTGCGTGCGCTCCGCGTGAAGAGGCGTACTGGGCTCCGGGCGGTGCTGCGCCGCCTCGGGAGCCCCTCGCGCAGCCCCCCCTCGGCGCGCCAGGACGGGCGGTGGGGTCCTGCTCGCCGCCCGCCAACCAGGGCTCAGTTCGATTCCTCCGATTCGATTCGATTCGATTTCGATGGCATCCGATTCCGATTCGATTCGGCTTGGGGGTCCGACTTCTTGTTGGAGGCTTGCTGGCCTCCGCCGATTCGACTTTTCCCCACTCGGCTGCCGATCCCCGCTGATCCGATTCATTTCGATCGCCGATCCGACTTATCGATCCGCCCTCCTGACCAAACCACCCCAACCCAACCCGAAAGCCACGATGTGCCTTCCATTTCCAGTGGGGGGGGGGCTCGGGAACATGCAAAAGACACATCTGGAGCCCGTACCCCCACCGACCCGAAATTCGGATCCTCGGGTTGGGCTGGGGTGGTCTCGTTGGTAGTCGCCTGCGGGTGGGCTCTGCCCCGCCCCCCCCCCCTCCCCCCGCGGTTGGTCGCGGGCGCTCGTGCTGGTCGCGTGCACGCGCGAGCTTGTCCAGAGATTTCTGCGCACGCGCCGCGCAAGTGATGCTTCGTGGGCTTCGAGGTGTTGCACTGCTCGATTCCATGGCACGAGCCTCGCGGACCGGCCTGGGAGACGTAAGATTCGAGTGCGCCGGAACTCGGGCTTCCCGACGCTTTTTGATGAGCGCGTCTTGGATTTTGACGATCCAGTTTTCGTGAGATGTTTGCAGCGGGAGTTTGCGCCAAATTTCAGACCAGGTCTCGTCATTTTCATGAGGGCCTCGTCGGGCCAACCCGAGTCCCCCGAACCCGAGTCTTACATCTCCTCGAACTGGGGGGCCGTGCTCATGCACGTGGTTTGGGGCGCTCGTCCTTTGTAGGCTCCCTGTCTGTCTCGGGGCGCCTCAAGGGCGCAGGCAGCAGATTGTGAGAGGGTCGTGTGGTTTGCTCTCATCGAAGGTCCAGTTCACGGTGGATGCGGTTCAATCGTGTTGTGATGCGGCCACGGGAGCGGCGAACGATGTCGCCTTTTCCTCCTGATCTGTCCCCTCTCGCCGGAATTGTGGCAACGCGTGCCGAGTGCGCGGGTCGCCCGCCCCCAGCTAACGCCCCTCAGGGGGTCTCGCGGTGCCCACGAGGCTCTGACGGGTTCGCAGAGGCCTCCACATACACCCGGGAGACCAGACAGATGATTGTCTTCCTCGATCTTCTCTTCGTGCCTTGGGAGAAGACGATGGACGAGGGCAATGGACGATCCTATTCCTGTCTATTCCTGTCCATCCATGTCCCTCCGCTCTTCCTCCCCTGTTCTTGCGATTCCTCCCCATCCTTCCACTTCCCTCCGGTATGAGTTCCTCCAACCTCCTCCGCCTCTTCCCATTTCTTGCCCCGTTCCCCCTCTTTGCCCTTCTCTCTCCGCCACCATATCCAACCTCCCTCGCGCTCCGCCTCTCCCCTGCCTTCCCCCCTCCTCCTCCTCCTCCTCCTCCTCCTCCTCCTCCTTCTCCTCCGCCTCCTCCGTCTCCTCTTCCTCCTCCTCCTCCTCCTTCTCCTCCTCCTCCTCCTCCTCCCTCCTCCCTCCTCCTCCCTCCTCCTCCTCCTCCCTCCTCCCTCTCCTCCTCCTCCCCCCCTTGCCCCTCCCTCCTCCTCCTCATCCTCCTCCTTCTCCTCCTCCTCGTCGTCCTCCTGCTCCTCCTGCATCATCCCTCCCTCCCCTCCCGCCAACCGTGTCTCCCCGATGCTCTTTCTTCGTTCTCCGTCTTCTCCCCCCTCCTCCTTACCTCCCATTCGTCCCTCCTCCCTCCTCCCCTCCCCACTGTGCGTCATGATCTGGCGGCCCTTTGTGCGCACGCCATCCCCATTATGCGTCATGATCTGGCGGCGTGGGTGTGAGTGTTCCCCAACGTGCCTCTTGACATGGTGATCCGAGGGCTAGCCTTCCCTAGCCTGACTTGCCACAACATTCCACAGGGACCAGCCACCTTCAAAGGCTGTGTAATCCGCCAGTATCTTCCTTACCTCCCTCTCCTCCTTCCCTCCCATTCGTTCCTCCTCCTTCCTCCCCTCCCTCGTCCCTCCCCCCCCCCTCGTCCCTCCTCCCCTCCCTCCCCCCCCATCGACCCTCCTCCCCTCCCTTCCCCTTGTCCCTCCTCGTTCCTCCTCCCTTCTCGCCCCCTCCCGCCTTCCCTCCCGCGTCGCCTTCCCTGCTCCTCGCCCCCTTCCTCGTCGCCGGCGCCGGCTCCGGGCCGAAAAGGGGCACCGTCATCCTGGGCCTTCCCCCCCCCTCCTCTTCCCCCCAGCTCCCCGAGTGCCTCCCCCCCCCTCCCTCTTCCCTCCCAGTTCCACCCTCCTCCCTCCCTTCCCCCCCCCCCCCCCCCCACCCCCCCCCCCCCCCCACCCCTCCCAGCTCCTCCCACCTCCCTCCCTCCCTCCTCACGCCCAGTTCCTCCCCCCCCCCGCCCTCCCTCCCTCCCTCCCCCTCCCCCCCCTCACTTCCTCCCGCCCTCCCCCCCCCCTCACTACCCCCTCACTTCCTCACTCCCTCACTCCCTCCTCCCTCCCTGCCTCCCGACTCTGCTCCATCACTCCCCCGAAGAAAACAGAAAGCCATGAACGTAATCGGTTGGCGCTCCGCGCGGATAACTTGGCTCAGCTCTGGGCCCCCCCTGGCGACGCCTCCGGTGCCGCCCCTGGCGCGCTCCGCGCGATGGGGAGGGGGGGTCCGGCGCGGATCCAGGAAATCCGTGCGGAGCGCCATAGTGTTTCTTCTTATTGTTAGCATTATGTTTGTTATTATTAGTATTAGTTATCTTATGGATATTATTATTATCATTTCTCTTATTAATCATTTTATTAGTATTAATTTTAGTAGTATTATTATTATTATTACTATTATTATTCTTATCATTATTTTTTAATAATATTATTCATATTACTATTATTACTCTTTTAACTATTATTATTATTATTCTCATTATTATTATTAGCATTCGTATTATTGTTGTTATTTTCCATGGTTATGAAACTCCCTTCATCTCCCCCCTTGAGTATTAGGTGTTGTGATTATCATTATCCTCCTCTCCCTCCTCCTCCGCCTCCTCCTCATCTTCCTCCTCCTCCTCCTCCTCCTCCTCCTCCTCCTCCTCCTCCTCCCCTCGCCCGTCCCCTCCTCCTCCTCCTTCCCCCCTCGCCCCCTCCTCCCTCGCCCCCCCCCCCCCCCCCCTCGTCGCCCCCTCCCTCCGCGCTGGCGCCGCCCGTGGCCGAGCAAAAAAGAGAGCCGCGGGGCCCCCTGGCCAGCTTTCGGCCGCGTGTCCTTTGCCGCCTGCCCGGACCTCATCGCGTGGCCATAAATCGTTACGTCGGGCATGTTCCTCTACAGGAGGAAGATTCAAACAGAAGTCGAGCAAACACGCTGTAAGCATAATTATATGTCTTGGCGCTCCGCGCGGATTGCTCGGATCCGCGCTGGGCCCCCCGGGCGGCGCCTCCGGAATCAGATCATCCGAAATGATCTTGGGACGATTTCTCGTGCTCTTCCGATCATGTTTGAAATGTGTGGGGCTATTGGTTTCAGCTTTCTTACAACATCCGCCTCTAGGAGGACATGCCCGACCCAAGTTTCTTGCTATCCTCGGCCTCCGGGGGTCCTTACCGGGTTTCGGGACCATTAAATAACGGCTCAGGAGGAAATCCCAGTCTCAGGAAAAGGGTCGAGACCTCTGGGGGGAAGTGACGCTGCGTGAACAAAAAAATCCTGGCGCCGCGGGGTCTGGGCCTGACGCGGCCGCGAGGACAGGAAGCAGGCCGCGAAGCAGCCTGTGCAGACGCAGGTCTCTCAGAAGGACTCCGGGGCCACGCTGGGTGGGACGGAGGAGGAGGAGGAGGAGGAGGAGGAGGAGGAGGAGGAGAGGGAGGAGGAGCAGGAGGAGGAGGAGGAGGAGGAGGCGGAGGAGGAGGAGGAGGAGGGGGGGGAGAGGGAGGAGTAGGAGGAGAAGGATGAGGAGGAGGAGGAGGAGGAGGAGGAGGAGGAGGAGGAGGAGGAGGAGGAGGAGGAGGAGGAGGAGGAGGAGGAGGAGGAGGAGGAGGAGAGGAGGAGGAGGAGGAGGAGGAGGAGGAGGAGGAGGAGGAGGAGGAGGAGGAGGAGGCGGAGGGAGGAGGAGGAGGAGGAGGAGGAGGAGGAGGAGGAGGAGGAGGAGGAGGGAGGAGGAGGAGGAGGAGGAGGAGGAGGAGGAGGGGAGGAGGAGGAGGAGGAGGAGGAGGAGGAGGAGGAGGAGGAGGAGGAGGGGAGGGGAGGAGGAGGAGGAGGAGGAGGAGGAGGAGGAGGAGGAGGAGGAGGAGGAGGAGGAGGAGGAGGAGGAGGAGGGAGGAGGAGGAGGAGGAGGAGGGAGGAGGAGGAGGAGGAGGAGGAGGAGGAGGAGGAGGAGGAGGAGGAGGAGGAGGAGGAGGAGGAGGAGGAGGAGGAGGAGGAGGAGGAGGGAGGAGGAGGAGGAGGCTCGGGTGCGGGCGCATCGACCCCCCGTCGCCAAGGAGCGAGCGGTTCTGCAACCGGTAGTTTGCAGTGGAAGCCCATGCCAAGAAGGTTCCTGCTTGCCTCGAGGGTGCCCTGGGTTTCTTGGGCTTCGATGGTTTTGCGATGGAGAGCGTGGCGTTCCCGCATCAACAAAAACGACACGCCCTGGGGTCTCGGGCTCGGGTTTCTTGTGGAAGATCTCCTGTGGCCGAGCTCTGACTGTAGGCTCCTCTACACACACGGCGCCAGGTTTTCGCCAAGTCGATTGCGCCGATGCATCGCTGCTGTCGCCGGATGCATCGGCGATGGATCGGCGATGTGGCGCGATCTTCCGACCCCCCTGTGCTCCGACCCCAGTTGGGAGGCCTCTAGAGTTGGAGGCCCCGGGAAGGTGCGGCGACACCACAGTGCGGCGAGTCAGTTGGGATTCGGGGTGGCCGCACAGTTGTGGGCCGTGGGCCTCCAGAGTTCCAGAACGGTGCTGTGACGGAGCGTGCGGTGAGGTCGTTAGGCATTCCGAGGTCACCGCACGGTTGTCACCGCATCGTTTTGGGACCAACGTGAGAGGGTGTGTCGAGGTTCGATGTTGCTGGAGTTTCTGTCGGTTCTCGGCGGTTTCCTAGCCTCAGGATGCCGTTCAGCAGGTGCGCCTCGCCGAGAGCCAGCAGGGGTTGCCCGGAACGCTCCGAACGGCCGCTGGAGCTTTGAGTTATCACCCGGGAGCCAGACGACGAGGATCGCATGCAACTCCTGGGAGGTCAAGTTCTGTCTTTGCCCTGGTCCGCAGTCTGGTTGTAATCCGGCCTGATTCCGCTTAGTCCGGCTTGCAATCCCGTTTAATCTGGCTTAGGCTCGCTTCATTTGCGGCCCAATCCAGTCCCCCAGTTGACTACCTACCAGACCACCCCAACCCAACCCGAAGACCCGAATTTTGGGTTGGGGGGGGTAAGGGTTCCATATGTGTTTTTTCGATGTTTCCCGACCCCCCCCCACTGGAAATCGAATGTAAATTTGAGCCTTCGGGTTGGGTTGGGGTGGTTTGGTGGGTGGTGACCAGTATGCCTGACGAAGTCTTCCCCGTGGTTGCCTCCTAACGGCTGACGCGTCGGACAGAGGGGGCGGGGCGGCGGACAGCGGTTCCGCCGCGGCGCGTGGGCGATCGCCCGGAGCGGGCGGACCAAGGCGTGGGATGCGAAGAAGCGGCAAGCATGCGCACCGCGAGGGCGGTGGGGGGGAGAGGGGACTGCGGGCGGGCGAGGTGTTTCGGCAGCAGATCATGAGAGTCTGGTATGTCCTCTCAGTTCCGGCTTCAGCGTCGATCCGCGTCGATGAGCGTCTGGGAGTCGATGAGGTAGCGCCGATTCAACGTCGGTTGGCGTCGATTAGCGTCGATTTAGCGTCGATGCGCAAGACCCGGCGAGATGGTATGAGATGCTACCTCGAGTTGCCACCGAAAGGCGCGCAGATCGTGAAGCCCTCCATTTCGAGCGGCATATCCTGTCAGGCGATGTTTCTCCCCCAATTCCCGGGCTCTGCCGAAAAGTTTGGCCTTTCAGATGAAAGGGGGAACTTTGGGATACACCCCAGGGGGGCTATTCGGATGCACCCATCTCGAGGATGGACACCCCCCCATCGTATATCCCAGGATAGGGCCCCAAATTGGCGCTCCACTTAAAAACCTCTCGAAGAATTTGAATATTCCTCCTGCAGAGGGACACGCCCGACTGAAGCCCAGGGCCCAGGGTGCCCGGCAGGGCCTCACGGAAGATGCAGGCCGCAGACGAGCAGCGGCCGGCAGCGAACTCGGGCAGAAGCGGCCGGAGCCGTGAAGAGTACGGCGCCCGAAGAGGACGGCTGACGGGCACCAGCGGTGAGCGCCAGCGCAGCCAGGCGCATCGCACCAGGCCAACAACATTGGGTCCCAGACTCGAAGTATAAAACATGTCATATATATATATATATATATATATATATATATATATAAACTGTTGGCTCTCCGCGCGGATTTCTTGGATCAGGCGCCTGGGCCCCCCCCCGGCGGCGCTTCTGGCGCCGCCCCTGGCGCGCTCCGCGCGCTGGGGAGGGGGGTCCAGCGCAGATCCAAGAAATCCGCGCGGAGCGCCAAAAGCTTCTGTTTATGGTGTGCGTGCTTCTTCTACAGGCGCCTCGGGCCAGCGCTCCACCGATCTCTTACCGAATTGTTGGCCTTCATTTGCGATGTTCGTACAGTGACAAGCGTTCACCCAAATCGTTGGTGAGCGAGTGGGGCCAAGCCATGCCCCAACCTATGGGACGCAGGGTGGGGAACCCTGCGTTGAGAGGCATGACGCATTGCCTCCTCGAGCACTGGGTGCCAAGCGCATCCCGAATGGCATTCTACGCCAATCTGAGAAGACTAGGAGGGGTCCTACCGTCTAAGATCCAGCATCCTCCCTCCTCCCTCCGCCCTCCTCCCTCCTCAAAGGCGGGCAGGTCGCACGCCTCGGCCCCAACCAGTTCACCAGCAAGGGGGCGCAGTTGCACTGAGAGTGGAGCCAGTGATGCCCATCACTCCAGCTCCGCGGCCCGCCGCGGACAGAACCCAGGTGCGCCACAAGGCACGAACCTTGAAACAGTTAGCTCCCTTGAGGGCTATGAGACGACCGCGCCTCCCGAGAGCAGCTCAAGTACACGCGCGTCTGGGCAGGCTGAAAGGATTGCAGCCTGAGTTTGTCAGCTCCAGCCTTGACGGCTATTGCCGCCTCAGTGGATGGCGCCAGGTATCTTGACTTGAACGCTTGAAGGAGGAAGCCTCGAGGGGCGTAGCTGGCGAAATGCACAACAGCATTGTACACCACCCCATCCGACCTGCCCAGAAGCCCCATCCACTGGAGCGGACCATCGTCGGGGTTCACCACGAGCTCAACTCTCTTTTGCGCCTTTGGAGGGGCCTACGTAACAACTGCATGAGGGTGGCTGCATGAGAGCCCCCAGCCAGGAACCCAACAGCAGCAGCCTCGGCCACCTCGGCGTTGTGCACAACTAGCTCGCAACAATCAACTTATGTCAATGAGGACCGTCAGGCAGTGCTTCCAGTGCTCCTGGACCGTCCTGAGCCCGAGCCCCAGAAGAGCTCGCTGCGATCCCCCCCCTCCCACTGCACCGACGCAGGTCTACGGACCCTCCACCGAGCCTCAACAGGAGAGGGATGGAGGGCAGTCGGCCGATGCTCGTCTGGCTCGTCGGTTTTCCGGCAGGTGCACTCGTTCGGTGGCAGCGCGACTTTGCGGTCACCACTCGCAAAAACGTCCCCAAAACGCACGTCTGTCCCGATGGAATTTGTCGCAGATTCCCCGCGGCGGACCCAGGCCATTTGCGAGTAGTTACTCCGGATTCCATAATAAAGTAGGGGGGTCACATTTGGGGGGGGGGTTCTGATTTGAGCTGTCTTGGAGGGTTCGGGGGGGTCTGGGCAAAGGGCCGCCCTTTCATAGATGGTCTGGGGGGCTCCAAAACTTCTCGTCTGGGAGGGTTGTGACCCCCTCCCTTTTATCACGAAATCTGGAGTACTTTGCTAGTAGTGGGCGCGCTCGTCTGACCCTGCACGAGCAAGCGTGCCACGGACCGAAGCGCCGCATCGCTCTCGTGCCAGAGGCTGCAATAGGGGCCAAGGCGCCCTGGCCCTGCAGCCGTGGCTGGTCGACAACACTCGCGCACGGGCTCCCGCACCTCCCAGTTCAGGAGCGAAAGAAGGACGTACATGTACATGAATCCACGCTGGTTTCGAGAGCACGCATTGCACAAATGTTCGTATAACGCGGCCGGTCTCGCGAATCGAGGGGCCGTTCATGTACATTGCTGGGCGCGTGCGTCCTTTGTGGGCTCCCGACCAGTGAGATGTGCCAGGAGAGAACAAGTCACAGACACAATGAATCGCCGATTCCCCAGCAAGGATTGGAAAATGTGCGACGTGGGGGGGAAGACAGAAGCCCAGAAAACATGGGAAGATATGGGGGATCCTGTTATTTTAGTGTCCACTTATACTTGTGCGTCCCAGGGCCCCTTCAACCTGGGAGGCAGCAGCGCCCAGTGTTCAGTCAGGCGTGTCCCTCTACAGGGGGAAGGTTCAGAAAGAGTCAACACACAGCCCGGGGACCAGTGGTGGAGCAATTTGTGGGGCACCTCTTGAGTTTTTTGTGTTTGTATTTTTCTTCTTCGTCCAAACTCTTACCAACCTGCGAACGTATCCCTATCCCTAAGATTGACACGCCAAAAGGCGATGACAATCTTAGAGATCCGCCTTCAAAAAACAAGGGAACCCCTGAGATTGGCATCGTGATGAGGAGGTGCCCA